CACATCTTATTCACATCTTGGCCTAGTAGGAAGCAAAGAACAACCAGGAAATTCGCAGAGCTATAAAACCTAAGGCCTGCCCCCACTGACTCACTTCCTCCAGTGAAAATCCACCTCCTAAAGGTTCCACAAACTTCCAAAAAGTGCTACTGGTTGGGGACTGAAAGTTAAAATGCATAAGGCTATAGGGGGACATTTCACACTAAAGCCATAAACAGGTATTGAAAATGATCCCTTAGCCAAAATACTGCAATGTGGTGATTACTGGTGCTGTCTTAGTTTGTTCAGGTAATGACTTGTTAAAAATTTTCAAGCACTAATGTTGCACAACTTTACCTGGAAACCATTCCTGGGTGACCTTGGATCTTGAGCAGGTCTCTAAGAAATGAGGACTGATCATGACCTGTACCTCATCGCATTGTTGAGAGATTAGATGCAACGACATCTGTCAAGCTCTCGTCAAGGTGCCCGGCACAGAAGAGCTTAAGAAAGAGGAACTTTTACAATTGTAATCATTAGAAGCTAAATCCACGCTACTTTCAAATTTTCTCAAAACTTCTATCAGGTTTATTTGTTCTCTTGGATTCTGTTTTGTTTTGTTTGGAGACAGGATCTCATGTATCCAAGATTGGCCTCATACTCACTATGTAGCTAAGGGTGACCCTGATCTTCACATTGGATTACCTCTACCTCCTGTGTGCTGCCATGAAAGACCATTCATTGTCACCACACCTGATTTCCTCGGGGCTGGGGATTGAACACAGGGCTTTTTCACGATAGACAAATAGTCGCCAAACTGAGAGACATACCAGCCCAGATTCTGGTTTTGAATTTAGGTCTTTTTTTTAAAAAAATTGTATTTATTAGTTTTATTTTATGTGTATTAGGGTACTGCCTGCATGTATGTGAATGTACCCATGTTGTGCAATGCCCTTGGAGGTCAGAACAGGGTGTTAGATCCCCTGGAACTGGAGTTATGGACAGTTGTTAGTCACCATGTGGGTGCTGGGATTCGAACCTGGGTCCTCTGTAAGAGCAGTCAGTGCTCTTAACTGCTGAGTCATCTCTCTAGCCCCAAATTTAGGTCTTTTTAAAAGGTTTTTATAAACTTGAGCCTGAGCATGATATAATGAAGTCAAGGAACAAGCAAACAGAATGTGTACCATAGCTTGAACAGGGTAGATTTGTTTAAGATTAGCTTTTTGTTGTTTAGTTTTGGTAGACCTGGGTATTGAAGTCCAAATCTCACACATGCTGGGCAAGGACTCTATCAACGAGCTATATCCCTAGACCTGGATTGCCTTTTAATGGAATCATCATTAGATAGGGCTGGTGAGGCTTTAACATAGTAGGTCCTAGAAAATATTACTGATTAATTCATAAATTCATTTAACAATCAACGTGTGTTTAGTGGGTATTTATCATGTACCACAAACTCTTCTAGATGACACTAACGAAAATACCTGCCGTCCTGATAATAAACAAGCACCAAACACCTAAAGGAATAGAATAGGATAAGACAACACATGCTCTTAATAAATGAGTAAGGAACGGTGGAAGGTTGTAACTCGTGTACAGTTTTAAGTAAGGAGGTCAAAGCAGACCATCCTAAAAAGACCGCAGAAGGCAAAGCAGTGGTACATGCCAATGTCCAAGGGAGATGCACTCCTAGCCCTGGGAATGGCAGAAAGCCTGGAAAGAAGCCAGAGAACACCTGGCTTGTTTAAAGGACAGTGAGGCTGGAGGCGTTGGAGACAGAAGATCGTGGGAGTCCTGGTAGACATGGAGGTGCTCTGGCCTGGGTCGACGGAAGAGCCTCAGAGGGTTCTGAGCAGCACAGCTTCGTCAGCTTCACACAGACCATGATGAGGACCAGTGGCAGAGACCTCAGAGAGGTAATTTAGAAGACTCCTGATGAAAGACAGGGCTGTTTTAGCTCTAATGGTGGGAATCCCACCCCAGGGATGGGAACTGGTTGGCCTCTGGACATATTTTGAGGGTCTAGCCAACTGGATCCAAGGGGCAGCCTGGATGTGAGGTGTGAAAGAGAGGTGAGGTGAAATTACTCTAACGACTTTGGGCCTCAACACTGAAAGGACGGAGATGCTGTTGTTTCCTGAGATGTAAAAGCTGTGTTAAACATCTCACCGAGACAGAATAGCTTCCTTCGGATTTGGGTCTTTGGGGGTAGGCCTTCTGCCTGCTGGGGGACTCAGTGACAATGAGCTTACAGTCACTGGTTCAAAGGTGAGAACTGAAGCCAGAGACACAACTCAGTCGCAGAGCACTGGCCTTGCATGTGTGAGGTTCTGGGTTCCAGCCCCAGGACTGGAGGAAAAAAAAAAGAAAGCACTGGAGAAAAAAAAAAAAAGAAAGCAAGCTTCCACCCTTGGCCGGATGTGGGACGTCTAGGTAAGGTACGAATTCTTCTACTCTGACTGTATAAGGAGATCTGTTCTTATGAACAGTATTTTTAAGGCCTCAAGTCTTTTGGTTGCGTTTCTAATTTACTTTTTGTCTTCGCCTCACCTTCAGACATCATGATGCCACTTTTGTGGAGGACAGCCGCTGTGCATGCTAATGTCCAACAGAGGGCCTGGAGAAGGCCTGTGCAAGCCCTTCACTCCCAGACCTGGCCTCTGGCCCTGCAGAGGCATATTTGTGTCTCTAGTTAGTAGCCTTTGTGTCTCTGGCCAGAGCCAACAAGCATCTTTTCTAGAATGATGGGAAGGTGATTCTAGAACTCTCTAGGTAACTCTTCTGTTCCATTTGAGTCTTTTGTTTATTGATGTTGTCATGGGTATCAGCCCACCTATATACTCAGAACTGATTATCAATGGATATTTAAAGAGGAAAGAGAAAGGCCTCTGTATGCAAATAAAAAGAAAGTAGGATGCAACGATTCTGAAATCTCAGACCTAGAAGGAGGATGGATTCTCTTTAGGCCTGTTCTAACAAGTGGCCACCAGGTTGGCTTAAAGCATGAGAGATTTATCAACTCTCAGCCATGGAGGCCAGAAATCTGGAATCAAGAAGTCACCAGGGTCGGCCCCTCTCTGAAGGCTCTAAGGAAGATCCTTCCTTCCTCTTCCAGCTTTCTGGTGTTTTCTGGCAAAACTTGGCACTTGCAGCTCATGGTAGTGTCACCCAGTTCTCTGTCTCCATCTTCTCAGGGCCATTGGCTCTGGGCTGCCTCTGTGTTTTGGTATCCCGTCTTTATGAGGACAACATTCATACTAGATTTACAGTCCACCCTCATCCAGGAAGACTTCATCCTAACTAAGTAAATCTGCAAACCCTACTCCCAAATAAGGTCATGCAGCTACTGGGTTAGGACTTTAATATATTTCTGGAGGAATCACTTTAACTCCCAACAGCATACAGCGGGAAATCCCAGGGAGAATAGATCTGGGGTGAGAGAGTCTCATAACCAGTGCAATGAACAAAGGAAAAACACACACAGGCTGACAGCGTAAACCAAGGTCAAACGCGTTTGGGAACAACAGGAAGTTTTCAGATAAGAGTGGCTCTCGCTCTCACTTAGGATGCTCTCTCCATCTGTGCTTATGGCCTTGAGGATTTTTTTTTTTCTTCTGTTAGTGGCTAAAAAAATATTGTATAAATAAAAGAATAAGAAAATAGCACCACTCTGACTCACACATTGGGCAGAGCCGCAGACTCTTGTGAGCATCAAGAAAGACTTCACAGAAGTGTTGATGCTTGAACCAGATCTTAAAGGATAAGGATTAAATCTCCTGGCAAAGATGGGTGGGGGTGAGAAAGATAAGGCTGTGCTTATAGAAAGTGTATGCCAGAATACAAGGTTAGTTCAATGACATACCCTGGACTTTCTTAAGGAGAGTGGCACATCTCAAGATCAGTACCATTTTACCTGGACTGCTCAGATGCTGTATTTAAAAAGAAAAACAATGAAGGGGGAGCTGGACATAACGGCTCAGCAGTTAAGAGCACTGGCTGCTCTTACAGAGGACCTAGGTTCAATTCCCAGCACCCACATGGTGGCTAACAACCATCCATAACTCCAGTTCCAGGGATCTGACACCCTCTTCTGACCTCCTTGGGCACTGCACGATACCTGTGCACTTACATACAGGCGGGCAATATACTCATACACACAAAATAAAAAAATAATAAATAAAACATATTTTTAAAAAGGGAAAGGGGCGAGGGGTAGGGGTACAGATCAGTGATAGAACACCTATCTAGCAGCATGAACCTGGGTTCTTCCCATCTCCACCATCACAGAAGGAGGGGAGGAAGGGCAAAAATGTTTCTGGTTTTAATAAATGAATAACTATGCACATGGTAGCATAAGGAACATAATATTAGAAGGAGTCAGTTATTGGCCACATTTGCCAAAGCACAAATATGGAAATCCTACTCTCTGGAGATCTGGAGAAATAAGAGCCGAATGTGGTAGACATTCCTCTGCCCTGATTGTAGAAAGAGATCTGCCAACATTTTTTCTCTGATATATTTCATTCTGCACAAAGGGCTGACTAGAGTTCTTAAGAACCCGATCATGAACCAAGATATGTGATTCTGAATCATCTGCATGATCTAGGAAAATTAACTCCTTCATGATTTTTTTCCCTGAGAGGCTCCCAACGTTGTGCCCTCTGAGCCTACATCACAATCTGCCCAGATTTTGTCACAGAACCTCTCCCTCCTTTTTTTTTTTTTTTTGGCACAGGGACATATAGGATGCCAGCAACGCAGTTCACACGGGGTCATTTCAGTCTCTTTAAAGTCTTGATGATTCGCGTCTGGGTTGGGGAGAAAGGGTATGGAGAAAAAAGGAAGAGCTGAGCAGGGGGAGGTGCCATGCAATTATGAAATTGACTGCAAAAAAGCTATCCTGGGAGTGATGGGATCACACACTCTTACTATTGGTATTTAAGCTCCAGCTTTGAAAACAGAGAGGGGGTTGTGGTGAGACACAGATCCCATGACTTGGTTGTCTGTCCCAGTAGAAAGAGTCCATGACTGTATATTTATTACGATTACAATGTATTAATTTCTCTTAATATCTGGCAAAGACGAAAAGCTCTGCTGTGACAGTGCAGCTAGCAGAGTAAGATTTTGGCTTCAGGGGTGTGAGTGGATAATTTGTCTTCTTCCTCTTGATTCACTGGTGTCACAGCTGACAGGGTCTTCCATTCTGCATGTTCATTCTGTAGTTGAAAAGGAATTGTTTGTAATTTACAGACTAAGTCTGAGTGCTATTCTTCCACCCTGGCAGAAGGCATCTGTGGTAGGAACTCTCATTTCATGTCTGTACTACAGACACAAAGCAAAATCAGAACCTTCAGTGGTGAGCCTCCCTTTCCCTGGTCCAAGCCCTATGGTATAGAGGCCTCAAGGGGAGGGGTTCTACAAATATCAAATCACCTGACAATCCTCTCTGAGACCCAGACAAGGACAGTTTCTTCCATGAACTCTAGCTATTTATTATGTTTAAAAAAAAAAAACCCAAAGCTTGCCAGTGTGTTTTACTGCAACTCTTTCTCTTTGGGGGCAAACTTGGTAAATTCCTCATAAAATGGTGTTCTTAAACTCTGACCTTCATTTGGATCAGTTTGTCCTGGCCAATATTTACTGAAGAAAAATAAAGTAGCAAAGAGAGCTTGCAGCCATGCATTCTCACGCCATGAAGTTGGAAGGACAAAGAACTTTCTTGGATGACTTCTGTAACAATGGCAGGTTTTTTCTGCAGCCCACTGTGGTCCACCAGTCTCTTTGGAAAGCACCCTGAGCTTTACATGTATAATTCATCAAGTGCCACAGGCTTAAGTTCAAACAACAGTGCCTTTTGACTTCGATTTTAATTTAGAAAATGGATTTCTTTTGAGGAAACAGAATGCCAAGTGGTTAATGAAATACTTAAAATAGATTTCCTAAAGTTCCCAGCCAGTACTAAGCAAGCAAGGTCCAACTCACTCATTCTCAGCCTTAAAGTGCTGTCTGCTTATTTTCCATATAAGAAGAGCTTTGGACGAGTAGAGTCATAAGTTACGGTATTTTACAGGCCATTGCTTTATATTCAATCTTGGTCTGAGTTGTGCTGATGAAAATTTATCTCTATCTTGCTTACAAATTAATAATGGTAAAAAAATCTAATTTCTTTTAGAAGTATCTTCTAAATATAATACACATACATATTTCTTTTTGATAGCCTTGATACATTTTCTAGTTAAACAACAATTTATGTAATTTTCTTGTGTGTGTGTGTGTGTGTGTGTGTGTGTGTGTGTGTGTGTAGATCAGAGGACAACTTTCAGGAGTCAGTTCTCTCCTTCCAATATGTGAGTCCACGGCACTAAACTCAGGTTGTCAGGTTTGGTGGCAGGTGCTTTTACCTGCTGAGCCCTTCACCTTATTTTTTGAGTTAGGATCTCTCCCTGAACCTGGAGCTCATGGGTTCCACTAGACTGGCTGGCCAGCAGTCCCCAGGGATCCTCCTGTCCCTGTCTCCCCAGCAGTGGAATTACAAGCATGAGCATCCACTCCCAGCTTTTTATGTGGGTGCTGGGGACTCAAAGTTGAATCCTCATGCTGTGAGACATGTCCTTTTCTGACTGAATCATTTCCCAGCCTGCAAATAATGTAATTTTCATTATTGATGCCCAAAACCATCTGTCCCTAGAAGGTATGAGCCCCAAACCATTTAAACAGCAAACCTCAAAACCAGCTGTAATGCTAGAATGTTTTTGCTTTCTAGTACTCAATGTAAGTTTCCCACCAGCTCGACAGAATGACCAAGTGTCTGAGCACCTTCAACAAGACCGATGAGTCTGACACATTTTTGCTTTATAGTCCCACAGCAGACCTACTGATGAGATTATGTATTCAGACAGTCAACTCTGGGAGGACAGAGGATAAGGTCCACATCACATGGAGCAAGGGGGCACCAGAAGGAGGGAGAACAACAGCTATTATCTACTATATTACTTCAGAGAGCCACCAGGGTTCTGAGAAGTCCAGCTGTGGGCTTTGGGGAACTGATCCTCTGTCTCTCCAGCTCCTTTATTTATGCCAGTGCTGGCTGGCCATTGGAAATATCCTTAGAGTGTATGAGGGTGTAGCTCAGGGATGGAGAACTCGCCCAGCATGCTGAAGCCCTGCGTTCAATCCCATGCATGGCAATATGTATATATACATACATATATGCATATGTTGTACATATATATACACACAAATAATATATATATGCATGTATATGTATATATACATATGTATCTATTATGTATATTTGTATGTATATATGTATGTACTATGTGTGTATATGTGTTAATTTATTTCATGTATCCCATACCCACATATGCTGAATATATATATGAATAGATATATTTCATTTAAACATTTAATCAATACAAAAGTTATTGAGGTACTACAAATACTGTATGTATATAATTATGTATTTATATATGTATCCAACTAAGCCTTTAAAATTTTAGGTATATTTGATACTTAAAGCACATCTCAGTTTAAAGTAGCCAGATTTCAACTGTTCAAAGCCCTGTCAAACAGTGTGGATTTCTGTTTTAAAGTTCAGTGATGTTTAAATAAGTCAAATACGTGCTCTGTTAAATCATAAGCTGGAGGCAGACGCTGCAACACAATGACTTTTATTCATCCTCCTTTTCTTCTTATGGCTCTGAGAATCAAGCCCAGAGCCTTCTGGGTACTAAGCAAGCTCTCTACTACCGAGCTGCACTCTAAACCCTCATTCCACTCTTGAATATTGGTGATGTCATTTCACGATCAAGGAACCTGTGTGGCTGCAGTCTGGTAGAACAGCAGGGATGATTCAGAAGCAAGTCTGTAAGAGTCAGCAGAGACTGCAGACGGAGCACAGAGTCTGGGAACTTAAACTTGGGTGTGACCAGTTGATCTCGGAGTCTACTATGTGAGCAGTTTTCACTTTTGTTTTTAGTTGCTTTATTATTCTGGTTTATTTCTCCATAGGTTTATTTCGCCATAGGTGTATTTGGGAACACAATCTAAGGAAAGTGTATATGGTAGCCTATGGCTTGCTCAGATTTTAAAATAACATATATAAGATTCCATCCTCCTTATAACAGCAGTGTTGAAAGTCTATTGTCAGTATTTCCATTAAAAATCCAAACTTTCCAGGATTATTACATGGCCATAACAAATTGTTCCAGGCAGAAACTTGGCAAATCTTTCCCCACTGTGGGAGGAAATACTTTTCAACAATTCTAAAAAGATAAAAATAAATAAATGTTTACCACTTCAATTTACTTTGTGATTTTTGATATGGAAGACATTCAGATAAAACACATATTTTATCTTCATATTTAATTTATTTTACAAAGTTGGAAGGCTAATATTAGTTTGTATGTCAAACTTTGCTCAAGAGTTACACAAGTGATCTCCTAGCACCCAAAATTTTAGTGATTCCATTGTTTGGCTCTCACGTTTCCAGCTTTGCTTGGTATGTTTCTGAAAGACACTGGATCTGCCAGCTGTGTTTTTCAAGAGGTACTATTTGTTCTGAACTCCTTGTGGACTGGGATATTTTACTCGATTTGTATTCTGGGTCTTATTTATTGTATACTAATAGATGCAAAACAAATAACTACTGAGGGATGATAAGGACTTGATACCTTGCAATTAAGATAATTTCTAGTCTTCATTTTTGAGATAAGGTCTCAAGTAGCCCAGGCTGGCCTCTGACTCACTATGTAGTTGAGGTTGGCCTTGAACTCCAAATCCCTCTATCCCATCACCCAAGTGCTGGAACTACAGGCCTGGATCTCTATTCATAATCTCTTATTTAAGTGCCCACTTATCAGCTGGTACTGGTGGTCCATAACTGTAATCTCATCACTCGAGGCTCAGTAGGAGTGCCATGTCTCTAAGCCCCATTAAGGTAATGTTTAAAAATGACATTTTAACTGCTAGCATTCATAAGGCCAAGAGTGGACCTGAACTGTGGACTGCAACTGCTAAGAACCTGTTTCTTCAGATGTCTAGGAATTGTGCTTTGTTCATTCTTTCTAAGCCTCATTATGGTTCTACCTTAATAAAGAAACAGCCTTGACTCTTAGCCTCTGCTTTAAGGCCAAAAGCCAACCCAAACTCTGACAACCTGTTTCTTCAGACTTTTCTTGAAACTGTGCTCCCCAGCAAGGCTTCCTCTAGTTCACCCTTTCATTGAAACAGCATCTTCAGCATGAAATGGGGACATAGAAATCAGGACCCATCCTTATCTTAAGAATCTTGCCCTTGGATCCCTAAGTCTAGAATATCACACACAACAACAGACACATTTCACTCACAGTTTGCACTGTTTTCAAATTCATACTCCATCTTATACTATCTTGGGTGGAGGGCCAGAGGGGTCCTGAGGGATTAAGATCACATGCTCAGGTCACAAGAGGAGCAGATGACTCAGTAGCTTATTAAATTATAACCAGTAACTTTTGAGTTACAAGGTTAAAAAAGTCTTTAGTCCAGATTCTGTCCATATTGTAAAAGTCATTCCCACACAGGAGGATTGGAAGTTCTAGGCCAGCCTGGGCTATGATAGAGCAATTCACTCTCAATAAATAAACACCTACATATTAGACATCCACTATCAGTAACTTTTAAAGTCTTTTGAAATCATTAACAACCAAACTGCACTAGTAAATGTTTACCCTCTATAATTTTCTTCATTCGTGAACACCCCAAAGGATTACTGGGACACCTAAAAACGCAGTGTTCTGAAAGTGAGCTGGTCTATCCTTTGTTTCGAGCTTGTCTTAGGCCACCTCTCCTAGCCATTCCAGGGAAGTATTTGAGGATAAATATAGAACAGTGAAAAGCATAATGTGCCATTTAAGTATAATTGAGACACTGATTTCTACCATGGCAGGCACTAAAAACAACCTAAAAGTTATTTAGAAAGCATGGCAAAATTACATATATTTTAACCAGCATGTTTGACTCCAGATTAAGTTATTGAATGCAATATTGAGTGAACCAACTCAATTTCTAGTTATGTAGAAGTTACTTTCAGAGCAGTTTTATTCTGTAGAGAGATATCTTCGTATTTGACTAGAGATAACTAAGGTGTCTCTCCTCTTCTTTGACAACATTTTGTTTCTCTTATTTATTTACTATGTGTTGGGCACTCATGCCACAGTGCTCCTGTGGTGGTCATACAACTTGCAGGAGTTAATTTTCTCTTCTACCCTGTGGGTCCCAGGTATTGAACTCAGGCCCTTAGACTTAATAGCAAGCACTTTTAATCTCTGAGCCATATTGCTAGACTTAGAAGTTATCCCTGCCTCTCTCTGAGGAAAGGTGTCATGTGTCCTATGTTGGTCTTGAACTTGTTATGGAGCTAAAGGAAGATGACTTTGAACTCCTGATCCTCCTGCCTCCACCTCTTGGGTTACAGATGTGTGGCATCACATCCAGTTTATGAAGTGCTGGGGATCAAAACCAGGGCTCTGTGCATGCTAGACAATCAGGCATCTTTTCAAAGCAGGACTCCTACTAAAGTTCACTGTCACTGAAGAATTCAAGCCTAGAATTCAAAATCAGTATATCTTTTAGTTTATATAATTTACAATCTGTTCAATAATTTACTTGCTATAATCTGGTAAGCAGTGTGTGTTTGCTTAGCTTTTTGTTTTGTTTTGTTCTGAACGACATAACAGGCTACTTCCAATGCAAACATATACTACAATTTAAAATCTGTCATCGTTTGGAGGGCCTGCGTACACTGGTTGCATTAAGCACTCTTGTGCTCCCTCTGCTGCCACAAAGAAAACATTCATATTCAAGACCCTAGTACACCCACTCTTCAGTTTATAACACAGATTAGCAGGGCTTTTTTGAAATATAATACTAATTCCCCAAAGCATATACAGTCACCCTTTGGATGGGAGGAGCAGTTCTAGGATCTCTTTCAGATACCAAAATCATAGGATGTGCAAGTATTACATACAATGACATATTTGAATATAGTATATACACATCCTCCTGCAGATTTTAAATCATATCTAGATTATGAATAAGATCTAATGCAGTGTAAATGATCTGTAAACACATGTTCTTCTATATTATTCAGGAAACTCTCTCTCTCTCTCTCTCTCTCTCTCTCTCTGTGTGTGTTCAATACTCTTTTTTTTTCAAATGTTTTCTGGTTGAGTCTGAAGATGAAGAGTCTAAACACAATGTGATATTTTTTCATGGGTTAGTTAAATGAATAAAGTAGTAATTAATTGGCGAAATGAGTTCTGTATCTGCGGCCAAATGTGTCTAGGCAGAGTCCCAAGTATACAGTGTAGAGTTCTTCATGCTGGGATGTGCTGATGAGTCTTCAAAAGCTAGTTGAAAGGTAGATTCTGACTTCAGAGTCTGGGATGGGAGCCTTGACTGTGGAAGTCTAAACATCTCCCAGATGGTGGTGCTGTGGCTGCTGTTGCTTTAAAGACTATACTTAGAAAGCAGGTGTAATATAAAGTCTTAGGAGCTAATATGTACTTGCTGGTCCATTATAAACTTTCAAAAGTAGATAGGACAAAAGCAGTAAAATAAAAGGGGAAGGGGAGATAGCTTGGTAATTAAAAAGCACTTGCTAGACAGTTATGAGGCCTCGCATGTGGATTCTAGTGCCCACCAGATGTGTCCACCAGATAAGCCAGGCATCCCACCCACACCTGTAACTCCAGTTTGGAGGGAGGTAATAGGAGGATCCTTGGGGTTTGCTGACTTCCTTCCAGCCTAGTCTAGAAAATAGAAGCCCCAGTTTCAGGGAGAGACTCTGTCTCAAAGGAATGGGAGGCCTTCTTCTGGTAACTGCACACACACACACAATAAACAAATAAATAAAGAGAAAATATTAAAATTACTTTTCACTTTGTGTAAGTAGTTTATAATACAGGTTAGGAATCCAATCAGGAGATTTTATTCCTCAACTGTACTTTATTTCAAAGCTTCACCCATCCTGTGTAACTCCAACATCAGATTTATGAGAGTTGTGGTGCTACATCATTGCTGACTGGCGTCTTGAAAAATCTGCTCTCTTTCCACTGAGTTTTCATTTGCATAAGAAATTTTGCTTTTAAAGAATCAGTGCTGTTACTTCTGATTACACAGTTAATATTTTGTCATCCAGAAAGAAAACATTTCAGCACTCAAGGTAATGAAACTGTTTCATGAGTATTATGTTTATGTTGAACCTTGCAGGAAGCAATAACTACAGGGATTGTGTGTGTGTGTGTGTGTGTGTGTGTGTGTGTATGTGACACTTATGGCTTTAATCTTAATGGCTAAGAAAATTAATTACATTTTTTTTGGTTTTTTTTTTTTTTTTTTTTACTGTGTGGTTAATGTATATATTTAGCTTTCTTGACGGAACATTTAAATTAATTGACTAAGTCTAATCTGAGTTATGTGTTTTAATATGTTTGGGGTTGTTAATGCAAATTAACTGCTTGCACCTATGTCATAATTACAATATTAGTGGGGGTTTTTTTTCCTGTGAAAATTCTCTAAATGTAAGATGTCTAAAAATAGAGTGGAGGTAGATTGGACAGTTTGCAGACTATGAATTGGAATAAAAACATCTCAGCTACGCCAAAAACATGGCAACCAATATTTTCTGTTATAAAAATATTTTAGATGAATTTCGGATTTTTTATGAAAGCTGTCTGAAACTGAAGCAGATAGAGGCTGTGTTGATTCACAGGCCATCAGTAATAATACCTGCAGCAGGAGGCAGGCAGCCTTTTGCATGACAGTCAGCTAGCTTCTACTGCTTCCCCTGGGCGGCCTTACCGACTGGGGGCAAAGACGCCACTCGGCTGGCTAGGCTCTGAACTATTAACCTTCACCTGGGTGAAACTTGAGAGCGAAAATAAAACCAGACCGAGCCTTTACAGGAAACTAATGTTAAGCGTCCACTAGAGGCTGTAATGAGACCAACAATGTCACTTTAGCACAACCGGGTATTGAAACCTAGCAAACACAGATTTTTAAGCGGACAACAACAAAAGTTATAGAAAAAAAAAAGTGAGAGAGAACACTAGCAGTTCTATTTAAGGAGCTACGGACGTGTGCACGGTATTTCAAAACTTGAGAACAAATACACATCCAGGGCTCTTCACCTCCCCCCTCTATGCGCCCCCCCCCCCTTTAAAGCTGCTGGCTCTACAATACCGTTGCTTAAAAGCTACACATTTCTCTTGATGATTCTGTATGCTGCTTCAGACCGTGACTAACTGTTAGGTCATAAGGAAACAGAGCCAAAAGGTCTCTCAAACCCAGCAGGCACCAGTGGTGGCATCCAGAGAGAGCTAGAGATCGGGTTTCTAGATGTCTACCTACTACTACTAGTCTTGGAGAATTATCTGCAGCAAAAGAACTCAACCCTCAGCGGCCCTGGGAGGGAGTGTTCCCGCTCCTCCTCCAGGTGTCACACCTGTTGGCAAGGTGCACCCCATCCCAGAAGATTCCTCTGCAGGGAGCTCACGCCTGCCGGTGGTGCAGATGGAGGGGGCGGGGTGGTGAGGACTGGACGTTGGCGTCTAACCACCAAGACAGGGGAAGTTCCTTCGCGGTGGGTTCCCGAGAACTACCAGGGAAGGCTCGGTTTACTTTAGCTCCTGCACCGGTTACCTCACTTCCGATGAACGATCCCGAATTAGCTGCCAGAGGAGTGAGCCGCTGGGCTCTCAGGGCTAGAGCTGAGAAGTTCGGTGCCCGCTGCAGATTTCCGGACCTGCAGAAATAGAAAGGAGGGCCGGGAGGTCTCCAGCTTTCCCTGGCAGGAAAGGTGAGGGTGCATTGCCAGCGGGGGAACCCAGAGAACTTTCTCCAGTTGCTGCCACAGCGGTCCCGGCGGGCCCAGCGTCTGGGCTGCGGAAGGCGCGCGGAGTGGAGGGTTAACAGCGAGGATCCCAGTCCTCTTAGACTCTTCTAGACTCACGGTGGGACCAAGGGCACTTCGGATTAGAATTAGCCCGGCTTCCGGCTCCCTTGGTAGTTCACCCTCCCAGAGCCGATGCCTGACACCCCGAGGGGGGAGTTCCCCAGGTTGACCGAGTTGCACCCGGCGCTCGCCCAGATCCCTCCAAACTAGGTTGCAAGGACCCGGGGAGGGCGGCGACCGGTCACCACTCCAATGACCTCATCGCCCAACTTCCCCGCCCCTTTCTCAAACCTGGAAGGCTCAGTCCCCTCGGGCCGGCCGGCGTCCCCGATCCCGAGCTACAGTTCGGCCTTCCCGGGGGCCTGGTGCACTGAAGGGTTAAGGGCGCGGGCCGGCCGCTGCGCGGTGCGCTCGCCGCGCTCTGTGCGGCTCGCCGGGCCGCCTGCCAGAGGGTGCCCCCACCCCCCCATGAAGTCGGATCCTTGAGCTGCGGCGGCGGCAGCCAACTGCTCCATATTTGGCTTCTATTACACATTTACATACTGGAGCGAGCGAGCGAGCGCGAGAGAGAACGCGAGGGAGGGAGGGCGGGCGGAGGGAGGAGGGAGGGGAGGGGAGCGGGAGGAGAGGGAGGAGGAGGAGGAGGAGAGAGCAGAGTATACCGCAGACATCATTTCTACTACAGTGGCGGAGCCGTACAGGACCTGTTTCACTGCAGGGGGATCCAAAACAAGCCCCGTGGAGCACCAGCAGCGGCAAGACGCTGTGTGTCTCCCTCTGTCCCCCCTTCCCCACGCAACCCCAGATCCATTTACACTTTACAGTAAGTGGCTATTTTTTTTCCTCCTCTGATTCTTTCTCTCCCCCCTCCCCCATCCTCTTCTCCCCCTGATTTAGATTAAAATCACCCCCTCCCTCACCTCAATCCCCTCTCTCCCGAGAGGGGCCAAAGCAACACCCAGCGTACACCCCCACCCTCCAATCTCAATGGGCTTCACGGAAAACAGCTGGAAGAAGAGCGAAGGAAACCGACGCGTCCTGGTGTGTGTGTGTGTGTGTGTGTGTGTGTGTGTGTGTGTGCGTGTGTACATACAACGGTGCCCGGCTCCAGCCTTCTGGCCCGGGACCCCACTCTGGGCGCAGGAGTGGCGGGCAGGGGACTGCCAGGGGCAGGGTGGGCGGCCGCAGGGAGAGGGGGCGCGCCCGGGCGGGGGGCGCGGGCGGGGAGAGCGGCGGCACCAGGCTCGGGAGGCTGCTGGCCGGGCGATGCGCGCAGAGCCATGCCCTCCTCCCTCCGGGTGGCGCAGGGGGCGTTGGCGCCGGGGGTCGCGCACCCACTGCGCTTCTTCCCAGTCCCCCAGTCGGGAGGGGGCGGGGAGAGCCACCGGGGCTCCGGGAGGGCCGGGCTTCCTGCGGATGGTCGCGGGGCTCGGCGCCCCGAGGCTGGGGTCTCCCCGCCAAGGCCGGCCTCTCGCGCTGTGCGGTTGCGTGGCCTAGAGAGGACTCGCAGCGCCGCGGGCTGCGGGGCTGGGGGCGCGGGAGGTGGGCGCCGGGCTCCCGGCGCGGGTGAGCGCAGCGCAGCTGGAGAGGCAGCGGGGACCAGCCCTGGCTGCAGCCGCCACCGCCGCCCTGTTGTTGGTGCTGCCGCTTCCTGATCAAGTGCAACTGCGGCTCTTGGAGCCCGGAGCCCGCGAGCGCCCCGGCCCGGACCCCGCCAAGAGCGGAGAGCGGCGGGCGCTGCCCTGCGCCGGGAGTGCTCGGCTGCGCCGCGGCGGGGAGGGTGAATGAAGCCGGGAGGAGGGGAAGGAGGAGGCGGCGGCGGAGGAGGCGCTGCGGGGATTGGGATGCGCCCCGGAGCCCCGCGGCTTGTTCACTCCGGGAGGGCCGGAGACTCTGCCACTCCCGGGGCCGCCGCCTCCTACGTGGTTCCAGCCCAGCGCGCCGGCAGGTCCCGCAGGGGGCAGGGAAGGGGGCCGGCCGGGCGGAGCGAGAGGTGAGGCGGTGTCGAGCTCGCGGCGGCGGAGGAGGCGCTGCGGGGATTGGGATGCGCCCCGGAGCCCCGCGGCTTGTTCACTCCGGGAGGGCCGGAGACTCTGCCACTCCCGGGGCCGCCGCCTCCTACGTGGTTCCAGCCCAGCGCGCCGGCAGGTCCCGCAGGGGGCAGGGAAGGGGGCCGGCCGGGCGGAGCGAGAGGTGAGGCGGTGTCGAGCTCGGCGTGAGTGCGTGTGTGTGTGTGTGTGTG